TTTCGCCTTCGGAGAAATGAACAGAAGCATGAAGTATTTTAAGATCACAATTCGAAGGCGATGAAATTAATTTTGTCGACAATATTGAAGAAAAACACGGACATGGAAAAGTTGAAATGAAGTGTACAAACACTTAAAATTAATCAATGTAAGAATCATTGTAAAGTGAGTTAGGTACGTTTTTTATAATTTTTACATATTTTTTTTTTTTTTTTTTACAGCGAAGCTATTACCATCAATTTGTTTGTTTACAGCTGTCGAATAAACGAGAACAAACGAAATTAACTGAATGATTATAATTCACAATATTGGTTAGTTTTCAAAAATATGACAAAAAAATTAGGTTGTTACAAAATTAAAATGCTGTGGTCAGCCTAAGCCCTTTGATACGAATGGGCCGAATGACTGGACCGACTTAATTTGTCGAGTCAATCACTGCGAGTTGTAAATATTGCAATATTTATAGCGTTTTTTAGACGATATCAAGGGTGGGTTTTATCACTCACCAAGGGAGGGGCTAATGGAGATTCTGGAATTTATTTAGTTATTTTTTAAATCTATATATAATTTTAAATTACAGAATATGTTTTTGAGTCCCTCGTAAGAAAGTCATTTTTTTACAATAATAACAAATTTTAAATAGTTACATTAAAGGTATCAATCAAAAAGTTAACCTAACCTGAAACCAGGGGTGCAATTTCAATCAAAAAATTGGGGGTGCTGAAGCCCTTCTATCTTTTTCATATTCCTTTATGATTATAGACACCAGCAACCTGTACAATTCAACAGTTACTAAAATATTTGATAAACATTTGAATATTTCTAAATTTAAATTGTTCACTTTGATTTATATTTTTATTGCGCATACAGCGAATTACCCGTCAGTAAACACAAATGTTTCATCACATGATCACATTTAGATTCTGAGTGAAGCGATTCGATAAAAATATTATAGTAATAAAATTATGTTTATATTTTTTTTTTTAACACTTTTTTGGATACGAATACTGGTCCAAAAGTTTTTTCTAGGTACTTTTTTGATTTTAAATCGGCACGTGGTAGTACTTTAGATAGGTAATTTTTTATAATATTTTTAAATTTTAATAGTTTTTCCAGGCGTGACGAAAGCGGTAAAAATACGCTATAAATAAGACTTTCACTTTTCAGATTTTAGATATTTAGTCATAATTCCAAAAGTAATGTGGCTAGAAATTTGAAACTCTTACCTTATAGCAAAGATATTTTTTTTCGTGTTTAATCAAATTTTCAAAAAGCGCATTTGATTTAAATATAGAACTTTAAAAATACCTAATTTGTTTAAAGTCTTTATGTAATATAATTTTTATTTTTGGATATTAAGTGAAAATATAATATCACTTAACTCATATACGATTACTTACTTATTTAGCGATACTGAAATTTTTTAAAAAAAATCGTTAGTCTGAAATTTATTTCATAAGCGTACTTTTTTATACCTACGATTTTTACGGATTTTACTGTTTTTCATCAATTTTTTACATTAAATGTTTATTAAAAAAATGTGGTCCATCCAATCATAATGAAATTTTGAATAATAAATATTTGGTAAAAAATAAATAATTTTCTTCGTCAGACAATAAAATGTTAAATAGGTTGATAAAAAAAAGAACCTACCGATAATTAGACTAAAAATGGTGGAATATATTTATAAATCGTTGATTCTTATACTGAACCTTAGCTCAGAACCGTTATTATAAAGAAATGATTTATAATTTTTTTAAAACTCAATATATTTACTACTAGGCTTGTCAATCATCCCAGTGTCCCGGCCGATCATTCAGATTATCCCAGTTAATAGAAACTGACAGAAAATAACATTTAATATACTTATTTTGTTTTCATATCAAAATAAAAAAAAAAGAGTCATTCGATAGGTTCGATAGGTTTAGATTTAGGGATTTTAAAATCTGGCATCCATACCTATTACTATTATCCAGTTCGAGGACCAAAGAGACGAAGGACGAACTTACACCACCATTATTTAAATAAGAAATTTATATATTTATATATTTATACAATAAAACTCTGTTTTTCTATACATAATGAGAAATGAGTATTTAAAGGTAAATTAACATAAATAAATTTGAGGGTGCTAATCACACCCAAGCTGCCCCCTAAATTGCGCCTGTCTGAAACCATTTTAATAATATAGCTCTACACATATAATTGATCTATTTTTATGGACTGACAAAAAGGTAGTCCCCTTCTACTTAAACACATATAGAACAGTTCAAATATCTAGGTTCTATTTTGTCTGAAAAAAATAATGTATCAATCGAGGTAGCAGCAAGAATCCAAGCTGGGAATAAATGTTACTATGGACTGACTAAGGTACTAAGCGCACGAGCAGTATCGCGAAAATTGAAAGAACAATTATATACGTCCTTAATACGTCCAGTTGTAGTGTATGGATCGGAAACATGGCCACTCAGAAAAATGGACGAGCAAAGATTCTTGGTCTTTGAAAGAAAAGTGTTGAGGAAAATATATGGCCCGGTCAAAGATGAAATAACTGGGGAGTGGACACGAAGAAAGAACTTAGAGCTGGAAACATTATACAGCAGTTCAGATATATTGGAGGTCATCAGAAGCAGAAGACTACGGTGCGCTGGCCACGCTTGGAGGAGCCAAAATCCACTATTACATGCAGTGATTGAACAAAATACTGTAAGTAAAAGACCTCTGGGAAGACAATATAAAGAAGGACGTTGAACATTTAGGTGGTGCTTCCAATTGGAGAGATCTGGCATTGGATAGAGTAAGATGGAAGCTTGGTTGTGAGACGGGATGGTCTTAAAGGCTCAATAAATCCAAAAAAAAAAAAAAACACATATAATTAACAACAAAAATAAGCTAATTATTTATAAAAATATATAAAAAATAGGTACCATATTCATCAATGACGATTGACGATATTTTATAATAACTATTTATATATCAATATATCCATGTATGATTTGTAAAATTAGCTTAGTCCCAAGGGGGGTGGATAATGCCCCCTTAGCCACCCCCTTAAATACGCCCCTAAACGATATAAATAAAGACTAGAAATAATCATAATCACGAATTATTTTTTTCGCAGGTTGTACTCCAAGAGTAAATCCTCGTAGATAGGATTGCCATACGTCCCGGAAAACCGGAATTGTCACCGGTTTTGGACTTCATGTCCCGAAAAATGTTTGTGAGACGTTTACATATCCCGCCTTAGGCGTTTAGAAGAAATGTAGAATAGTTTAATTTTAATTTCGACGATTTTATCTCAAAGTAGAATTTTAATCATAATCGATTAATAATATATAATAAAAACATAATTTGTAATCTACACACATAAATATATAATATATTTTTTTTTACATAAATATTTTTCAATATTACATAGTCCACTCAATATATTAAAAGTATATTACTCAATAATGTGTTTGTTTTGTCCCGATTTCACCTTATAAATGTATGGCAACCCTAGTCGTAGGACGAAAACCTTTACAATTACCCATTAACAGTTGCAATACATGTTTTTTCATACACTCGGAACTTAATATGTACAAAATAAATTTTTCCCATTTTCATGTCTTCTACAAATGAATGTTACATCCACTTAGTTATAAGAAAACTAGGATATTCCCATGAGTTTTATTTTACACTAAACAATTCTCACTCATAAACGAGTCTATTCCGTTTAGTTTATATATTATCAATATGATTTGAATTTTTCTTTATTTTTATATTCGTCCATGCTTTCACATTTTTTTCAATTTCAAAGATTATTTTTGGACAAAATATTTGGTAGGTAAAAAAAAAAATTGACATTTTATACCAAACTTTAAGATGATTCCAGATATTAATACACATATTTTTATGATTATTGATTAAAATTTCATCTAATTTACATTGTTTGGCTTATGTCTGAAAACAACCCATTTTCTTATTATGCTCATTAGCTTATTCGTGGTTAATATTTACTTTACTAAACATTATCAATTTAAAGAGTTGAGCTTAATTATATTAAAAAATTTCTTGCCATTTCTTAGCTTACAATTCAAAAATGCATAAGACAAAGAATAATTTAAAATAAATAAATAAAGTATAAAGAGTTTGAGTTGAAACTGTAATAATTATGTTACTTCCTACAGCAATACAATGTATAAACACAAATGTAATTATAATTATTTATGATTAGAGGTCAAAAGATCTTGTTGTAAAAAATATTTTATAAAAACAATTATTGGAGATTATCAAAATTTTATAATTAAAAAATAATATAACTTTAATTTTATGAAAAATTTTCAATACAAGCGAATACACAAAAAAATGATTTTACTACACTAGGTTTGAATTAAATAAAAAAATGTATTATAATTATTATTTGTTTTAATATTTTTATATATTAAACATAATATATCTTTTTTTAATCTTAAGTGTTGTGTTTAATATGTGAATGACTAGTTGCGCACATAGTAGTTATGTAACAATAAAATTAATTGGGTACTTAACTTAGTTATTGTTTACAAATCAAATAAAATTCTATTATTTAACATTTCGACATGACAAAAATAAAATAAAATAATAATTATGTATATAATTAAATAACAACAATGATTTTTTCAAGTCGTATAATCCATTTTGAGCTTTACAAACAGAAAATAATAATAATAAGTAAAAATTAGATAATGACACAATTAAAGAAGATAATAAATAATGTTCAAAAAAGTAAAATAATAATTTTTAATGGTTTTAATACTAATAATGTTATCATTATATCATAGTTTTTCAGTGCGATAAAGCAATTTTTAAACTATTTGTAAATAAAAACAATAAATTAATAAATAAATAATAATACAGCTGACGCATACGTATCAATGTAATGCGTGATTAATGACGTGACGGGATGTTTCACAGGTTTTTCTTTGAGAGAGATCAATAATATTGTTTATAACAATGACAAAAATATAAATATAAATACATATAAGACATTGAAATAAATATTGTTTCGAAATTGACGAGGATATAGGGAGTCTGATTAGTTTTGTGGCATAATTCATAAATGAAAACAGTGAAAATACTTATGGTACACATTGAATACATACAATGGTTTATGACTGATTATTATGGATTACTAGCGATTCGTTTAATCTATACATATATTGTAGATAATATGTGGTATGTATACATAAGTACCTATACGGACTGTATTTATATGTGTAAATTTATATGAATTATTTGTTTGATGACTGTCTTTTACAATAAGTTTTATAATAAAAACAACATGTACTGTTTATTATACATTCAACAAATGTCATTTCACACGCCAATAACGTTTAAAGGAACATTGTTTTAATTGTGACTTAATCGTTCATTTCACGATATGGACTATCGAATACATTGCTGTTTTACATGACACAATGATACGTGAAAAGGTATAAAATATATGTATTCTTGATAACAAGCTACACAATAAGGATCAATATGATCCAAACATGATTTATAAATATAAAGTTATAGTTCTACTGTCCGATCACATGGCTCACATGAAAAGAACAGAACACACATAACAACATAATGTAATATTAATAAAAAAAAAATTGCAACGTTACATCATTGTTGTATATAAATAATTAACATAAAAAATGCTGTCATTAAAACTGATGATCAAAAGACAACGACAATTATGACCGCGACAGTGGATTTGAAAATTGACTTAGCAGCGACAAATGTGCTTTAAAAATTAATAGAAAGCAGCACCGTGGACTTAACCTATGATAGACACTCGGTCACCGTCAGCTTTTTATGAGGGGAGGAAAGCATTAAGCTCGTGAATTCTCTGCAAAAATCAAAGAAAAATAATAATCGGTTACACATGTACATCGTTATAATTTTCAGATTGTCTTCAACTTACTAAATAAAATGTTAATCGAAGGCATAAACTTTGGGCGTTATCTATTGTCTTCCATAACGACCTGTTTGAACAAACTGTTGGACATGTGACGATTGATATCTTGACTGCCAAGCGTGGTCGTGCCGTCTTTCGCGATGAATAACTGCAGCCCAGGTCCTAAAAATAACAGGGAAAAAATATCTTGTCAAAAATTCGAATGATCGATGCCTAAGTAATAGAATTACATAAATATAAAATATTAGAAAGGAAACAGGTGAGATACGTATCAATATCAAACACGTCTACGTGTACGTGTACAAATGTATTTTTTCAGCCTGTAGGGTTTTTTCGTGTAGAATATGTTTAAAATAAATTATTACATTATTGCCAGCAATATACGAGGATGTGGTAGAACTAGTTCAATTTTTCACGCGTGGTTTATAACGTTTGACCGTGATAGTATCCATTGTTAGTGGATAGAAAAAATAAATTGATACAAATTTGAGAAATGTATAGAATGATATAATGAGGCCTAATGTTTTGACCTTTATCACTTGGCTCTCTTCAGACGGAATAGCGGATTAGAAAAAACTCCAAATCCTATATAGATCATTATATATATATATATATATATACAAGGCCATAACTGGAAAAAAATTTCGGGGGGGGGGGGGGAGTCTAACATTATTTAATACAATTTATAGTTAATAAACTATATTTACCGCTAAAATGTTTCTACTTTTGAAAATTTTTGGGGGGGTCCGGACCCCTGGACCCCCCCCAGTTACGGCCTTGTATATATATATATATATATATATATGATGGATGTATAAAAATATAAATTAATTTAAATTTTAAATCTTAAATTAATTCTAAATCTGATCAGAAAAATGCAATACTTATTTCTAGATACCCCTAACACTTGATAAAAAACCACCTAAACCATCCACCACCTAAACCAAATTACGTAACTCGACTTGAAATGTGTAAAATATAAAAGCATTTCAAAAGGTACAACTACTTCAGTAAAATCAGTGCTAAGATTTGCTTCAACGTAAAAGCATAAGTATTACGAATACTATAACAAATTTGATCGATTGAGCACGGATGCGACTCGGGCGTGGTTACGTACTCTTATTTTTCTTTCGGGGCGCGATCCGGATACAGCCGATAATATCCGGTGTGCAAGGAGGGAGCAGGGAATGGGTTTGGGAGGTGCTTACTGTGCTTGCTGTCCTCGTCCGCCGACTGGTCGTCCAAATTCGTCGCTTTGAGCAGTTGGTCGATTAGACTGTCCGGGTTCACCCTAGTCACCTCCACGCGCCCTGTGACCTTCGCACAACTGTCGTCGGCGACACTGCCGCCCGTGACGCCACCCGACTTCTTGTTGCGCCTCTCCAACGCCGCCTTGCCGCGATCCAACGAACCGGCCTCAACACCGCTGAGCACGGGCGACGCTTGCGACGCGGATATGGCCGTGCCACTGGACGTCAGACTGAAAGGTACAACAGGGCAAATCGATCGGATATGTGATAAGACCATAAATTAACACTATCGTTAATAATAACTAATTATGTTAATTACTATAAGCAGTTCATAAGCAGGAATAACACATTAGTAAACAATATTAAATTGGAATGTTAAATATAATATATACGCGCTGGTCAAATATATTATTGTTACGTGTTCTGTAGACCGGCCTAGTGCATATAATGTTATATAATATATGATGAAAACCCCTTAGGATTGAATGTAAAAGTTTAATATGTATAAAATATAAGACGTTTTATACGATTGAATCGTGCGCATATATTTAAAATATTAAAATGCAACTTGATTATTGAGCGCGGAAACGAAAGAAACCATTAAATGTTGTGTAATTGAATTATTAAAGCGTAAAGCGTGATTTTTTTAACTCATGACTGGAAAATTATTAAAACCAATAATTTTCGAAAACACTACATACATTTATATATTTAAGTACATCAAACTTAAAAGCAAAATAATAATAAATTCATGCGATGAAAAGCAAAGCACTTAGAAGATGTTATTATGTATCATCCATTGTAATGTATATTTTATAAATACTACTGCGTCTTTCTATCGATGGCAATATTATAAATACATTCCCTAGATTAAAATTCTAACTGAATCATGATAATCATTCATTAATAACTAAATCCTAAATTTATGTAATCATGATACAAACATTAAAAATTTATAATAAATTGTATTATTTTAGTTGAAAATCAATATATTCAAATGTATTTAGTAACTTCGATATTGACATTTTACAGATTAACTCGAATTAATAGAATTACAAACTGAGTTTCTAATCATTATAATATGATACATTGTTTTCTTAGAAAATGATACTTTTGCATAAAACTATATCGATATATGTATGTATATACCGAACAATTATACAAGCCGTATAAAATATACGGGGTAAGACAAGACACTTGTCTAGATACAAAATCAAATAAGAGTATAAAATCCTAGCGTTAAATGACTCACATTTTTTTTTTTTTTTTTTTTATAAAGGAAAAATAACCGTTAAAACAGTAATAAGAAAAATAATGATTAAATATCATAATATACAGTGAAAATTAAAGTAAACTCAAAACGAGAAAAAAATAAACCAAAATAGGTAAAAAAAAAAACACGTCAACACATGCTTATGTAATATATATACGCCTCGTGCAATCACATAAACTCCAACCAACTAACATTTGGCTCGGTCGCCTGAACGGGGACGACACAATACTGTCGGAAGTGCTGAGCAATTTATCCAGTTCCGGTAGCTTCTGTAACGAGTTCATGTTGAGTAAGCCCGGCAGTGTCGCGACGCAACCACCAGCCGTGTTGTCCAACAACAGTTTTCGGTGGTGCATACTACCGCCCCTGAACATACAACGTAGCGTTACCGTGTCATTATCCCAATATGGTATTTTTGGAGTGCACTTAATACTATTTAGAAAATCCGCTCAAGACAGTGAGTAAAAAATAAAACAAGATGTTTTCTCTGCTCCACGGAAATATATTAAATCAGATACGTGCCGCAGACTTCGATATTATTATACTTTACTATTATATTAACACATTGTATTCGGTAAAATGGACATTGTTACAATACATCTTGTGATTATAAAAACTTCACGTTTAATCGAATTGAAATATACGCATTGAATGTAATATTTTAAAAAAATATAACCGATTTGTTTTAATAACAAAGTCCATATTTTAACAGACGATGAATATATATGCAATAATACATAACACGGTATATACCACATCTATGAATCGTCCGCAATGATTACGGTAGACAGAAATCTGTACATAGACATAAATATTGTCAACAAAAAAAAAAAAAAAAAAAACAGCAACGACTTAATAAATATGTATGCATCTAAATAATAGATTAATATGACACACCGTTATTGCACATGATGATAATAATGCAGACTTAAAACGTAGTATTTGTAAGTTCTGACGTATAGATATAATAATAATGAAGTCTGTGTATTGGTATACATGTATTACGTTAATATCGATGATTATTACTAATGTCGTATAAATATATGGATATATATTTAAATATTAACGTATTTTTAAAGGCGACGAGGAAAATAAGAAGACAGTAGTAGAGCTGGCGAAGAGGCAGGCGAGTTGTTATACTGTAGAAGTAGCGGCTGCAGAAGCGGTGGCATGTGGGCATAGTGTTAATACACGATGAAGACAGTAATCGTGACGTGTACAGCACGTAGGCACCGAGTGTGTTACCTAGGGGAGTCGGGGGTTAAGGGCAACAGGCCGGGCGACGAGTTAGTTCGGGCTGACGGTCCGGACCATGGAGGGAACCGGAACCCGCCGCCGTTTTTGTTGTCAGGCGTCCGGAACAAATCCTGATGAGTGCACACTTGAGGTGACGACGGCTGCTGCTGCTTAGATTGGCGTAGTGACCAGAACCTGGATCGGGAGCTGCTCCACGAGGGTGTGGTTGGAGGATGTTGATGTGGTGGCGAAGGTGGCGGGGTGCCCGGTGTTGGCGACAAGGTAGGAGACCACACGGGCCAAGACGGCGACCTGATCACAAGTATTTTGTAGTGTTTTTGTCTCTTTATCTCGTATAGTATTTCTTTCAGACAACAACATCAAAGTGTGTTGTATAACATGATGGGGCGAACAGAGGTAGTGATATTATACAAGTATATTATAATAATTACACAATTGCGTAATAATACACGTGCGTTAACAATTTTTTTAAGAGAAAGATGATGAAAGGGAAACTCGTACTGTAAAAATAAAAATAAAAACACTGCGAGAAAATATTATAATTGGCACAGGAATATTCTACGCTGATTTATTGTTAACGCGGATACGGAAACGAGACTGTCATCCCTAATATTTATACATATGCGACAATATGATACTCTAGCCAGAATATTCAGCCGATATAATGTACCAATAAACGGGTACTTATCTACTACTGGTATTTTGCTGCGATATTGCGCCAATATAAATATATACACATATTCATATTTGTACATAAAACCCTTTTAAACCTTACAAATTATAATTTTATACCGCACGATTATTTGAATAGTGGGTTTTCTATATTACCGAACATGTCCGCTCTCGCCGGAACTGCTATGTCTTGAATGAGAGTTGTAAGAACTAGAACCTTTGCTGGTATTCGAAGAGTTACGGGAATGTCCACTCGAGTTATTCACATGATTCGCAACGGGTGCTACGGTGTCATGAATAGTCGCATCATCCTCTTGTTGTTCTGAATGATTTTGATTTGACTCGGCGTCATGTTTTTCTAAGCCGCCCATGGATGGAATGTCTGCAAATACGACCAACCAGTATGGTATTATAAACTGTACAGTAATTAGACGATTAGAAAATGGGTTAAAAATAATGGGCGAAATATAATGCATATTCGCGCCCCACAATAAAAAAAATCAAATTAAAATTAAATTAATATAATCGTGTATGATTTGTATTTTCAATTAGAATTTCAATACACGAGTGTATGGATTAAACGTCATTATTAATAAAAGAACTTGAGTTAAAAATAACAATTTTTCAAAGATATTTAAAACAATTTAACACTATATAATAAATTAAGCTACATTAAGAATCGTTCATTAAATAACATCAATTTATTATAGTTTTTATTACTATAATTATTTATGTATTTATTCTCATCAGCGAACATATTATAAGATGCTTATTTATAATACAAAAATATTTGCATAATTGTAGGAAACAACGCTACTCCTAGTTGAATAAATTCAATAACTTCCAACATCCACCTTTCAACTTTTATCCTTACTCAATATGAGCATTTAGTATTTAAATTTTTTAATTTTAATATCACGACCAAGTATGTTTGTTTTATTATTTTAATATTGAAGCAGTGAATGTTTCAATAAAAAAACCTGTTTTAAATAATATTTTAAACAATTTTTAATCTTGGGTACAAAACATTAACTTTTAAATTCAGCATTTCCATTTATTATAATTTATAAATATTTACTGCAGTAAAATTTATCGATAAAATATAACTAATTTTTGTTATTCTAGAAATCATTTCCCTTGACCATTACAGAATGTTTTCCTGTTAGTTACAACAAAGAAATTTAAATTAAAAACCATTGGTTTATCTTTAAACAAATAAATGTCACCTTTGTTTATCTTGTAGAATTTTCATACAAATCGATATGTCACACATATTTTGATCCTGGCGACTCAAACCCAAAATCGATATCACAAACCGAATCACATATGAAAATTGTAAGAAATCTCTTACAAGTATTCATTTTTAGATTTTATTTAATGTTCTAAGGATAACTAGATAAAATCCAGGTTTTGAAAATAGAAAAAAAATGTCATAAGATTCTTCATTTGGCCACTTCAGAGAGTACGCGTATACTAGTTTCCTCGACCATTTCAAAAACACCCTATATAAACTATAATAACCGATAAGTTCGATTTGCTTGGAATAATAGTTAGTGGAAAGATTGGTTCACTTTAACTCTTTGAATCCTTTTCTTTATGACGATATAACATGAGCAGAGTACCTACATCTTTACAAATACTCGAAAAAAATACAAGCATAACATATTGAAGTAATACATTTATTTATTATCTATTGTATCTGGTGTACATACCTGATGGAAACAACGAACGTTTGTTCGGCAAACTACCAAAACCGCTGCTAGGATATTCTGTGTCTTCGCGTTGCTGTATATCACCATTGGAGATAGGTTTTTGGTTTAATGTAGGGGTTGGTCTGCGATAAATCAAAAACTTTTTTATTAAATAACAATAATTATTATGATACAATTAATAGAATACTTATATCTGACTACTTAAAACTAGTGGCGTATTTTCATATTAGGCTTAGATTTTTCTAAAAAATAAGTGATTTTATAATAATAAAAAAAAGTACATATAAGGTATGAATTATAATTATATTATTCTATTATTATTATAAATAAAAATTAATAGTTATTTATAACCACATGATATAAATAAATGTTATCTTTCTCTGTACTTTCGTGGCAAATCATTTATGACTTATGAAATTTTTCTTCCGAGGGGTCGAGACCCGAGAGCCCCCCTCCCAAAAAAAAAAAAAAATATGCCTCTGGTTTATATTCCATAGGAATATAGAACCTACGCTTTGAACAGTATATCTCCGGCTAACATGTTCATGGACACGGATATCCGAAGCATAGAATTGTCTTGGCGGTGATGTCGGGTGTCATATCCTTCCAGCAGGCAACGCCTTGAGCTTAATCCTGCTCCGGCCAGTTCAGCCAAATTGACATCAGTAAATCCGAGTTTTTGAAAGCTACGGCCTCCTTTCAGTTCCTATGTAAAGTAATGAACAAACAATTAGAATGTGTTGTTTTTATATAAATGATGACATCCCAAAACATACTTTTCGAACAGATATTCTAAGATTACACGGATCCAATATTCCAGTTGACGCATTGGCACTCATCTTGCACACAAACTGGAATTTAGAACCCCATCGGACTGTATGATCTCGAACTTCTTCTCTATAACATGCCAGCACCCGAATAATGGATTATATAAATAAAAATAATATTGCATTATGCACAGTACTATGTTTATTAATACAGAGTAAGGAATTAAGATAATTTTTTTTTTTTTTTTAATAAACACATCACAAACTTTAGACACTTGGCAATTAAACTACAGTAAACAGTCCATCGTGTGAAAATTTTAAAACATACACTTGGCAAACGAATTCAATCATTGATTTTATTATATAAAAATACACACATTTAACCGCATACTTTTAAAACCTTTATATATTATAATAAAAAATATATAATATATAATAATAAAATAATATATATATATATATTCATATACAATCATAAAATATTTTTTAAAAATCCTTTTAACAAATTATTATAAGGCATATTATAATTATAAGTAATTTCTCATTGATTAAAAAAAAAAATTTATATTAAATGCAACATATACAAATAAAACAATCAAAGGATATTTTTAGTACATGAAACCTTCTACTTTATGGCAATAAATAGAAACATATACTTGGTTTTTACCTAGCTCATCTCAGCGCATAAGAAAAATTTGTAACCGTTATTGCGCATGCGCTTTGTACATTATTCTCAACTATAAATACTCGTTTCTTTTTTCTTCAAATCAGTCACATGAAACGTGTTTGACAGAATGCTACCATAAACTTTCCGGTAGACATTCCGTAAATCTGTGCTCGATAAGACACACATGTTTCTTGTTTCTTGGCTTCTCAGCCGTACAAAATATATTTACACGTTCTACCTATATTTGCTGGGTAGTATATATGTATATACACATCATGTAGTGACGCTTTAGAAGAGAGACGATGAAAAGAATTTAGCGCCAACAAAATTGGCTGCCATTATAGTTGAGAAAAAACTGTTCACTATGGAAGATTTTCGAAAGTTTGGACCGTTTCCAGCTTACAAAATAAATCAAATTCAAACGACTACTCAATCAATAATATTTATCAACCGTTATTGTATATTAAACTATATTGATAATACATTATATATTTAATACAATCGATTAGGGGAAAAATGGTTAGTACATATATCAAAAAATACTGTGAAAACATGTACTTAGAAATTCAATGAGCAAATGTTTTTGCAAAAAAATTGTTGACACAGTAGAAAACGATTTATAATAGCTATCTCTAAACGAGTACATCTATATAGTTAAAATATAATAAAGTATAATTATATTTTCTGTTGAACCCTTCAAGTCTTGCGATTAACATATTCAAATCTACTTATACACTATAAATATTTAAAATAATTTACACGACAAAAAAATATACGAATAAAACGATACACGAGGACGGAACAATAACAAAACACATAAGTTTTCATTTGAACGACAGTTATAATTAGATTAAATAAACAAGTGAATCCATTTAAAAATATTTGTTGTGGCATAAAGTTTCAAGTGTTTGAAATGAAACCCGAATTGACAAGTTGATTGACAATAACATATTAATATTTATATCAATAACACAATAATAGTATACAATTTAACACTAAAAATAACGAAAATATTGTAATTTATAGTAAACCAATATCGAGATACACTACTGCATTAGAAGCAGTCGAAATAATAATTTATTCTTGATTACACTTTACACGTCTTGTAAACTGTTACAACAATTATGTACCTACGCGAATAAACAAGAAAATCTAATTTTGGAATTACATAGAAAAATAATCTCTAAATCCCATTATTTGTGTACATTTAAAGATACCTAAAACCTTTGTCACGAATTTTCAAATTTGTAACGTATTTTCTTATGAAAGTTTGAACGATCAAATCGAACGATGTATTGATATTTTTCTTATTTTTAAAACTAATTATTACTATAAATGATCAACACTACACCATTGTATATGAGTATATTGCAATTGATTTTTTTTAACGAAATCGCAGTTACAGTGAATATAAGTTAATATAAGTGAATATATACAGTCGTATATAAAAAAAAATAATTAATAAAAATTCAACATACTCAAGTAAAATAAGGTTCACCAGTATAGATACGCTGAAGTATCAGCTATACCGAAAAAAATTGTTATCTCCCAAAATCTTGAATTTTGTTCTAACCAATATTCACAGCATACTGCATAGGTATATAATAATAAAATAATAAAATTTGCAAAATCCTCTTTTTATATACATATGTAAATTATTTATCATGATGAAAAATATTTTAACAGTTTCGATTTGAAACAAAGCGTCTAACTCGGAAAACGTTGGGGGTAAGGTGAATAACGTCTCCATGTTAAACAAATGACGTTGACAGTCTCGTAAATCTTTAGCGCCATATATTTACATTTAATGAATAATACATTTATCTTATTATAAACGGGTAAGCTTATAAACACACGTATAAATTGAATTACGAATCCTTACTATAATAATTAGTAAATTATATATACATATAATATTATGATCGGTCTATGAAAAATTCACTATGGTTATTGTGTCTGTTTGCTTTTTAATATCAGCTGTACACAATTTTGTTTCGTTTTCATTTTTAGTTTTCCTTGAATAGCGTTACAAATGTATTCGTTCTAGATAGGTACATACATGTATTAGGTTATAATAGATTCATCGTATCTGAAAAATATATTCCATAAGTGTTTTTACATTATACTTTATAAGTCGGAAATAAATAAGTAGACAGTGTGCCTAATTACGTATAGTGGTCAATGTCATTTTTTATGTATTAATATCGGTTTTTGTTTGATATGAATAAAAACGAAACCAACCTACCACGTACCATCACCAAGGGCAATTAAAATTATTTCGGTATATTATCACGTCAATATGTTATTGTTTCAAATTATTATTAAATACAGTTATTATTGCGTCACTACTATTATACTAACTTACGATTCGAATAAGACATTAGGTCAGTAGTAAAATAATTAAGTTATCTGATATATGTAAACGCAATGCAACACTTCCTCATTCTAAGTTCAGACATAGAATATTATTTTTAAAAGAAAAACAATAAAAATATAATGTAGGAAAGTATCCAAACGAAACTCATATCATACCTAAATGTTATTTATTATCTTGTTTGTTTCGTAACCGATACCAAGTAGCACATTTGTGTCAAATAAAAAGCATTGTTCTATGAAATATCCTAATTACGCAGCTCGTACGGAAAATTATCTTGATTCCTACATGCACAACACCATAAAATATTTTAAATATTTTTTACACAGTAATATTTTTATATCATTCGAACGGTCGAATTGTTTAACACGTATTAATAAATCGAAATTGAATGGGCGGCAAGTCATAAGTCATAATAAATTATGATGTTGTCAAGATGATCAAAATCAACTATTCTACACTCTGCTACACTGAATATACGTAAAATGCCATAAATACAATTCAAATATGCCAAAATAAAAATCGATTTTTTTTTAATTTAATACGATAATTCACTAGATAATGTGATACTAAAATACGTTATATCATTAATATGTACATAACGCTATATAACAATATAGTATAGCGACTTCTAGTACAAATTACAACTGTGATAACGAGAAAAAATGATTTAATACATTCTATACATTAATACCTGAGCGAAAAATAATATCACAATAGTTTTTTTTTTTTTAAGTCAATATGAATATATCATACGATACATTGTTTAAATCCCAAACGCATAAAGTTGAATAAAAACAATTATTATTATTAACGCAATATCATATGAACATATTGACTAAAAAACTTAATTTCACTTATAAACATAATATTATATTAATGTTTACTTTTTAAAACATGAATAAAATAAAAGCTGAAAAAATATTTTAAAACCAATATTATCATTTTCCATAAAATGCGAGTATTTTTAATGGAAATAAACCTTCAATATTTTCTTTATTTCAAGAAAACGTATTTTATCGATTGAAAATTGCTATTTGAAGTGTCAATTATAACTCAAACATAAATTTTTATTTTTTTCAACATGACGATAACGCGCGCGTATATTATTCCAACACACATTACACAATATACATATGAATATACATACACATAATTTTCAAATTGTTTCGTACATTCCATAAATAGAACACTATACCTACACATTATAAAGCAGCTATAAAATTCCATCTTTCCACATTACATATACATAATATAAACCTTGAGTTGTATGTTCACTCGGTTAAATAGGAACATCAAAACGCGAAAAAAGTTATATTCTCCGCATATATCTATAGATAGAATATCTATGTAGAAATATCATACATATATTAGGTATAACGTAAGTATAGTTTAAAAAATGTGCTGCAGTAACGAGTCACTTTGCTAAGTTTAAAAATTAACAGCGTTATTATTTTAGCTTCCAGTGACCACACTTACATTCATAAAAAGGTTTATATTTAAACATATTCCAGACAGCCCAAAGAGAACTAGTGAAAGAACTATCTTTCTCACTAAAACAAAAACACTAGAGCTCAAAGTTGTCACCTACAGGAATATATTCTTCCCTATGATCAGACATATAATTTGCATGTAATTCAATTTTTTTACTGTATTGATATAAAATAATTACAATTTATAAATAGAAATTTATTATTCAAAAACAAATAAAAGCCTTGGTTAATGGGTTATCAACTAAACTTAAGAAAAAATAACTCCTTTTTTTTTTTGTCTTACATATTTTTAACTAATTACATTTTAAATTATAAAACATAAAAGAAGATTTTTTAAACTGTTTATAGTAATTTTATGTACATTTTATGCGAGCGTTTATCTAGAGTATTAGATTACATTATTGCATAACCGACTACAACAAACAAAAAAAAAAAAAAAACGAGAAAAAAATTACAATTTTTAAAGTAACTTTTAAACTTCGACTACAAATTTTTCGTCACAAATGATAAACTAAAAATCAAAATCCTAGCTGTTCAATTAATTTAGCTACGGAACTCGCCACCACGTCATTGTATACCTGCGCACGCGTATATAC